CCTGCAGAATGGAGAGTATAGTAGTCAGTGTGTCAAATGTGCAAGTCATTCTCACTCACACACGGGTACATAAGCACATACTCACCTGGGGAGTCCATTCTGCCATCACCTAATAAGACAAGAAAAAAAATGGAATGACATGATCTTTATCATGATCTTTATCAGTAATAGCAAGAAACAGATAAGACAACATGTCATAGGTGGCAAAGGTATCAAAAAAAGTCTAACCAAGTACTACGACCTCGTCTTTCTCCCGCAAACGGGTCAGGACACCAGCTCTGATTTTCTGCCAGAACTCATCAACTGGTTCAATGCAGTAGGTGTCCTGAATTTTAAAATAGGTAGACTCTGCCACCATCCCCATTTGCATGAATTTGAAGGAAAGCAATTTTCCTGTAATTGTTCCCTGATAGCAGAATGTTAGTGGACAGCATGAAGTTTCCCCCTTGCATGCCATACTTCAGAGGGGGCTGTGAATTCCACCTCCAGAGAATGTGTCCAAAGGGGCATAAATACAAAAATCAAACACAAAAAGAAGAACGACATCCACTTACTACTCCACACACTATATCATTATTGACGCACCCAATCAGTCATACTAACATACAAAGCCACAGTCAGTTTTGAATTCAGTACTGTTAATTCTTTGAAATACCTTGAAACTCTCATAAATGAGCACTGTGTCAGCTTAGTGGAACCCAGAATCACCATGCTACTCAAGTTAGACCAAGATTCTAAGCACAGTATCCCCTACTCTAACAGACAACAGACTATGACTATGGCCTTCATGCTGATGTGTGTATGCTACTGTTTGCTTACCCATTCCACAACAACTCCAGTTCCTCGTGGCTTCATTTCGACTTGAAATGGTCGTCTTCCTGGGCATTTTACCCCAGTTGCTCTGTCCGGATAGTTGCATGCTTTCAAGGGAAATTGCAGGTGAATTGCAGGAAATTGCAGGTGCTTACCTTGACAACCTGAAGGTTGTCAAGGTAAGCGATGCAGGCTTTCTTCCCATCCAGGTCATCCTCATTGACAACTTTCATGTGGTCAGGCACATCTATGGCTTCATCGTCTGGTGGATTAGGGGAAGCTACGTCGAGCACCGCCTTATCTATAGTTATTTCTTGAAGCCACTCAATGTTTGCCTTAGAAGCTGCACCGCGTAACACTGCGTAGAAAGGCAAAATATGAACGCCTCTGGCAGATTTGATCAGTCCTACTAGCCTGCAAGATGATTCTACTAAAAACAAAGATAATTAAAGCTGCAAGCAGCTGTGATTGGGCCCTTGGTCACCCACGCCACCGCGGGGGGCCAGCGCATAAGTGAAGCGGTTATGTGTTCCCTGAGATGAGGGAAACTCTGGGTTGTCCGTTGCAGACTGAGAGCTAACTTAAACTCTGGGTCAGTTACCATGGTGTTGGTGTTATCAATATAAAAATATGGCATTTCCTGTTTCCACAAGGGGGCGCTATGAATTAGAGTGAGTATGAGAATAGGAGTCGTGCAGGGCAGGGCTCTTGTCATGTACAGACATTTTGAAGCAGTTAGGATGAAGTATGTGGGAGAGAGAGTTCCTCGAATATGCATGGCGATGCATCAAATATGGCGGCACCATAGCGGCCACGCCCCTTGACATAGAAAAAAACTTTTAATAACTTTTGATCAGCATGGTCTCAGGATGATCTGTACCAAAATCTGTAGGAGGAGTTCGTTAAAATACAAGGTGTGGAAATCACAAAATCGCCGCCAAAATGAAAAGTTTAAATCAAAATCAGCATGGCCTCTAGATGATCTGTACCTAATTTGAAGTCGATCGGACGAAATCCCTTGGAGGAGTTCATTCAAACATGTCAAAAATTCAAATCAAAATGGCTGACTTCCTGTTGGGTTTACAGCATGGGTCCAAGGGATTTTTTTTTGTGCGTCTTGGCATGTTCTATGAGCCCACCAATTTTCATGCGTGTAGGTGAAACTCACAGGCGGGGCTCGAGGCACAAAATTTTCTAGGGGGGCGCTATGTCGCCATTTGGCCCCGTCCACATACAACACTGCCAAAATATCAAAATATCAAAACAGCGCGATTTCAATGGGGTCCTACACAGACGACTTGCAGTCGTCGCTCGGGCCCTAATAATTACAACATAGAGTAGATGAAGAAAAGGAACATATTCTTCATCCGAGCTGTCCCTGTCCTCACAGAATCTTGGGTCTGTCCAATTTTCTCCCATTTCAATACTGCACATACATATATAACCATAAGCGAGTATGATATACCCATAACACAAAATGAAATCAGATTCATTAGGAAGACTTATGTGCTGTTGCTTGGATCATTTAGTGCATCCTCATCTGGAGAGTCTAGCTGCTCTTCTTCCTCAATCAGACTCAGAGAGTGCATGCTACATACAGAGTAGAATAGAAGTATACATAGAGATAGAAGTGCGAGAAAATAAAATGTTCAGTCAGTCAACATTAGTTCAGGCAAGCTACATTCACTCACCATCTCAGACAAACTAACAAGGCACAGCAAGAGAAAAAACTATGCTGCACTGTTGACAGTCTGGTGCAATTTGCCAGTACCAGTAAGTAAATGGCAGGGAACTGTAGGCAAATGGTACAAAAGAGTGAGTGTTGTGAGGTAGAAGACAACTCTTGCCAGACAGTAAGTGAGGGGCACGAGATAAAAGGCCAGAGGCTCACAGCACCAACCAAAGAGACAGTATATTTTGGCTCATTCTGCAACAGAAACTCACCTGGCCTCTAAAACGCCAACCACTTCAGCCCCAGCTTCTTCTTGCAGAGTTTCAACACCTTCAATGGGGAAGTCTCCCCTGAATCAAGGCAAGAAATATCATGAATTAAACATCCCAAATGTCCAGAAAAAAGAAACATGGTAAGAAACATGTTGGCCAAGGGACTCGTCCAGTAGTACCTGTCATGGTCTGATTCTTCTGTGATGCTTGACACTATTGGCTGTGGAGGTTGGAGATGTGGCTTGCAGGGGGTTGAAGTAATTTGCTGCTTTTGATAACTGAGGACAAATAACAAATAACATCTAAATGAAATAAAAAAATAAACCCTGAAGGCCTATAGGCACCCTTCATACAAAATAGGCTACACAGAAAGCCTGGCATTGGCTACAAATATTCAAAATTCTATCAACATGTACAGTTCTAAAGCCACAATCCCTAGACACATCTACTTTGTGTGACAGGCATGTCACTGACTTGTTATCTAGAGCTAGCGAAATCTGCTGCACATTTGAAATAGAGTTTGATAGAGTTCAGCTTTAATGGTCATCAATCACTACTAAATTCGACGAGCAGACACATTTGTAGAGTCCGACCACACAGAAGTCATGCACAGAACACAACAAATATTACAAGAAAGGGAGATAGAAAATCACGTTTGTCCATAGCTAACAATCAACTGAAACAGCAAGAGTGCTAGCCAACACAAGATAGCCTCATCCCACAATACTACATTATTAAAATAATTCCATCTTTGTTACTTCCTATGGTGGGGAACAACACATTTGTGCTCGTACATTCATATTAGCGAGTGGTTTGGCAGTCAACATTTGCCACCAATGCTCACAGGAATGAGAATACTAGCTAGCTTGCAGTAGCAGCTAACTAGTGTGCTAACTATCGACAACTAGCTAGCATGTTAGCTTCAAGCTATCTAGATAAAATCGTTGTGGCCTATTACTTGACTAATCTATGGATATAAACGGAAGGCTAGATGATTTCAACACCACAGCCTGGCAAAGGCAAGTTGAAACGCACCAGATATACATGGTAAGCAAACAATTTATACTTACGAGTCCAGCAGTAACAGCGCCAGCTCACCATCGGTCAGGCATCCCTCCTCCTCTTTCAGCTCTGACCAGCGTGTGAAAGCCGGGCCAATATTAATCCTTGTTCGAGCTCTTGTTTTATCGCTCTCCTGTTTTCTTTTCTTTATCTCCTCGGACAACACCTTCACCTTCTTCCTTTTCTTTGTCACTTCAGCCAAGACAACCATGTCTAACTTTGTTCACCTCAGTTCGGCTAAGCTACTCTAAAGAGAGGAGGGGGATATGACGTATGTCGTAAAGCAGCCAAATTTTGTAGTCCTTTTTGTGTCCGGGTTCCTACCCGAACCCCAAAACTGCATAGTGCCAGTGCAAGTGAAACAGACGCTCTCAAGCAATGACGGAGGTGTCATCCATCCATTGTGAGTTGATGTACCATCACGAGGATCTTGGATATATATTCTGAGGGCTCAAAAACTCCATTGTTTTGCTTTAAAGGGTCTCATGCTCGAGTACCAAAAAATGGCTCTGAAGCACCCCTGACAAACTTTTGAGGAAACAGCCCCTGAAGCTTGTTTAACCTATGTGTATGACACTTAGTAGGCTTATGTAACACTCCTAGATGTACAAAAAAGCCTCTTGGGCCCATGTTCTAAACCCAACAGGAAGTCCGCCACTTTGAATTTACTGTGCAATTTAAGTACATTTTTGGCCATTTCCAGGGCTGGCGAATTAACAAACTTGTCCTAGAGATTTTATCCGATAAACTTCAAACCTTCACTCAAAAAAATGAAACGTTGACTTTAATTAAATATATTTTGTCAACAGGTTCCACGAAATTGTATTAAGTTAATTACAATTAAATATATAAAGTCAATCTAACTTAATCAAATTGTTTTAGAGTAACATAATGATTGTGAATTGAACCAAATAAAAACAAATACTTCTGATCAAAAAGAGATATTTCAGCTTGCCATAATTAAATCAATTATGTTATATGAACTTAAAAAATATATTGTCATCCTACATATTTTACATTTGCCCTTTAAACATACATCTTATATCTAAAAGTAAAATAATACATTTAAGTTCAATTAATAAAAACATTATACTTTCATATAATAAATTCTTTTTTAATTAGTTTGACATAATTCTAGTTTGTCAACAGGTTCCACACAAATGAATTTGGTACACCAAACATATTTTTGTTAATTCCTTTATTCACCAACGCATTTAACATTAGCATTTTGGTGCACTTGGTCCAAAAACAACATTATGACATTTTTAACGCAGGTATACACTGACTATGTACAAGTACTTCATACAACCCCTCTTCAAAAAACCCAAACTATCCCTTTAAATGTAAATACTTTCTTTATTGAGTTTATTTAGTCCTCTGACAGTAAACCACCTATCTTTGGGTTGTGGACTATTGGTTGTGACAAAATAAAACATAAGGTTTTACACCTTGGTGTATCAAGTCAAAAATGCCAATCACAGATTCTCAAAGTGACAACCAATAGAAAAAAATGGACAGATTAATCACTAATGAAAATAACCATTTGTTGCATCCATCCAAATAAACTCAGTTGGCAACATTATGGTACACGATAGTCCATGGACATCTGTAAACTGCCTTTATGCAGCATAACACATACAACATAGAACAAAAAACATCCTTTTGACAATATTTTGGTCTAACATGACAGGCTTGGTGTTTTCAAAAAAAATTCAAACAGCATAATGGTCTAAAAATCTAACACCACACTTGCTGCTGTCAACATTGGCCTTTCAATTCACTTCTCAATTCTTGTAACTTGGAACTCAATTTTACCACAAGACTACTTTTCACTTTATTCAGTTTTGATCCAAAATAGAATTGTGCCTATTCCGCAAAACATTCAGTATGCAAATCAATGGTTGGCTCATTCAAACAGTTTGTTTTTGAGCATCTGTACCTTTGTTGAGAGTCTTGAAGCATCCAGTTGAAGAAAGATCTTCTGAAGCACTTCAAAGAAGCCTTTCAGTTCTTGAGGATAACTGAGGTTCAGTGCATAGATTACACCCATCAAGAGTGCACATGCAGTGGCAATGTCTCCCAAGTCATGTAGAACTTCAACACACTCGATCACAATTCCCACATCAGCTGGAGGAGTGGCGGCATCACCTCCTTCAACAGTGATGCTGTAGATGCCATGGGGAATTTGTTCAACCTCCCCGAGTAGTAGGATCGGAATCCTTTACATGGGACAGAAAGACACGACAAAAAAAAAACAAAAAAAAACAACACACTATGAAATCACAAACAGATTTTGCAGAATTGAATAGCATTATTTAATGTCAACTCACTTGGTACTTTATTTGGAACAGCACTGCTTTTACTTTTACTAAGCTTAGACATTTTGTTTGTGTTTACATTGTGTTAACAAGTCTTCCTAATATGTTTATATGATCTAGTGAGTAGCAGTACTGAGCTGGAGAGCACAGATAAACAGCTCCATGAGTGAGGAGAGGAAATTCTCACTGCACCACTCCACTTACATGCTCTGGTAGACAATATTAAGAACACTTATCAATAAAACTGCACTACCGCCACCCACTACTACCTCAGTTATAAGTAAAGTCAAATTATTTTTCTGACAATGTCAGAAAAAATTAAACTGTGTAAGCTTCATAAAAGTAATTGTATTGGCTTACATTAGATTGCACAGGTGTCCCTAATAAAATGCAAGGTTAAGGTATATATTAGATTTCAAAATAAGTTTAAACAAACTAATTCCAAGCAATTATAATTAAGTAACAACATTAGTTATTCAATAATTGGTTGAATAGAGGTGAAAACAATTAATATTACTAACCAGGTATTCCTTGAAGAGGATGTCTGGGTCTTCATTCAGATAGACACAAAGTGCCTTCAGGACGCACTCCCTCTTTCTTTTGACAGTTTCATTCTATAAAAAAAAAGAAAAGAAAAAAGAAACTTTAGGACTGCACATACACACCTACTACACCTCACATTTCTAAAAGCATTTGAATAATGGTACATATTGGTAGGTATGGTTGCACTCCTTATCCAAAACATATTCAACTGGTTCAACTACTTGGAACCAGTCTTTGAAGTACTGCTTCCACTTAAAAGCAGTGCCAAGTGGGCATTGATCTCCAATTGTTTTTGTCAAAGGTTTAGAGAGGCAGACTGCAGAGGCCAACTCCTGTATTTCTGTTGCATTACGACCAAGATTATGCTTAGTACAAAAAACTGACACAATGCCATTTAATGTAGTCATGGATGCAGAACTCATCAGGAAGTGCAAGTCCTGTAAAAGTTCATTGACTGCACAGCTTGGAACATGGAGTATGTTTTCCATCTTAAGCAACACTGCTGCAAATTTTTCTTGTATCATCTTCTCAACATTTTCTGAGATGTCCGTCTGAGAACTTGACTGCACTTCTAGCTTGTCTTCATCAAATACTTCACTGTCTCCATGTTCACCTGAAAGATTCGGTGCGTCAAAACTCTCTCTCAGTGAAACTATTCCAGGTTTAAAGTCACTGTAAGAAAAACAAAGGTGCTTTCTATTTTTATGTGATTTAAATGTCCCATAGATGTTTGTGCTAAATGAACATCCCTTGAAGAAGCAGGGAACTGTTTCAATGGCTTTGAGATGCAAATTTAGATGTGCAAAATACTCTTTTTCAGAGGAAACTTCAGGGAATCCACAAACATGACAGTTGAATGTGGCCAATGACGATGTTTGCTGTGATGTCTCTCGGTTATGGACTAGACACAAATGTGACCTGAGCGCATTCCATAAGTTAAATGTACACGGACAACTACTGTATGGGCAAGGATATGGGTGCTGGCGCCAATAATGTGGATGTTTTAACCTATAGTGTTTAAGTAACTGGTCCCTAGTTGGGGTCTCTGAACTGCAACCTTTACACTGCCACATTCAAAATCTGGAAAAAAACAGCAAAGGAATATCAGTAAAGAAAACTTAACTTGTAAAACATTTTCTTTAGAAAAGTGTGACTGAACATACCATGTGCAAGCTCAGCAGTGCCGCCTACACCACATTAATGAGGGAGGGAGCAGATAAAGGCCAGAATCTGAAATTCAAGATGTTAACAGGAGTCATCAACTAATAAATTCATCAGTTGCTTTTAAGAAAACCAGAGTTCTAAAATTAAATGAGCTATTCAGAAGAAGAGCAAGATATTGAAGCAGTCACCTGATGCATGTTTCTAGAAATAAAAATACAGACAACCCAATTCACAGTAAATGAGTAGTTAGTTGAGATCATACCTGTTATGAGTACAAAGCCTTGTCCAGACAGGAGGGAGCACAAATGATCAATGGACCATCATTCAGGACCTGATATATGCAACATGATGATGACAAAAAGATAGAAAATCAACTGAAATAAATGTAGAAAGATTTTAACAGAAGGGGGGGGGGGGTGAGGCCTTTTTGATTTATGTGATTTGATTATTATTTAAGATTAAAGAACTTTGTGAGTTAAGAGCTGAACACAATCTATATTCACAAAGTCTACACTTTCTGAAAACACTAAATTTACACTGCTTTTATATCATCACTTATCATGACTTCCAGCACTCAACTCAATTAGTGCATTCTACTTTGAAAGAATATATGAACTACGTTCTTTATGTTTAGAGTAGAATATCACAGCAAATCTGATACAGATATCATAGCCGGGCCACTAGACACTTTGTTTTGAACTGCAAATCATAAATTCACGACAGAGGCTGGTCACCTTTAACTGTCACTGTTAAAAATTAAGCCTAAAGCCCATTTCACTAAGCTTTGTAAAAAAACAAAAAAAAAGTTTTAAGTTTGGAAATATAATACAAAAACAAAACTGTTAAAATACTTACATATAATGATATGGTGAATCATGTACTCAAAAGTAGACGCAAGCTTCAACAGCAGCTAAAGGTATCTCCTTCACCTGCAAACGGGAGAGGATGCAATTAGATACTGAAAATTCAGAGAGGAAAAAAAAACACACTTAAAATATTTTTTAAATCAAGCTTATCCTTTACAGGGTCGCGCGGGGCTGGAACCGATCCCAGCTGACATTGGGTGAAACGCGGAGTATACCTTGGACAGGTCGCCAGTTCATCACATGGCTGACCCATAGAGACAAACAAACAAACAAACAAACAGCTCATATTCACACCTACGTAAAGTTTAGAGTCACCAATTAACCTGCACGTGTTTGGAGTGGGTTCATTCTCACTGCCACGATGCAGAAATGCGGGACGGATTTGCGGAATATTCGCGTAGCGCTTTTCCGCGTTTAAACCATACACACAGGCGCGGTACGGACGCGGTGTGGAATTTCGCTTTCGCTTGTGTTCCAATTCCGCACAGTGTGTGCGGTTGTGGGTGAACATGGACGCGAGTAGCAGCAGCAGCAGCAGCAGCAGCAAGCTAGCAAGCTAACGTTTAACAAGCGTCAACTTCAACTTTCTTTAGCACTTACCACTCTCACCGCAGCAACCAAGCTGGACAATGGACTGCCAGACGCTGTCTTTTAATTCAGTGTTCATAAAATCATCCTGTCTGTTATCAAAAAGGACGGGGTGCTGTGAAACGAGGTTTATCAACCTTTCTCCCATACTGTCCTGCCTGGCTGGATTTCGGACTCTCCCGGGTCCGCGCAACTATAAACAAACGATTTCATTGGCCCAGCTGTGTAGTTCCGCCAGCGAATTCCGCAGGGGGTCAAAGCCTGGGCGGAAACTTTTTTCACCGCACGAAAGTTCCGCCCCGGTGTGCAAACTTCCATAAGAACCCATGAAATCAACTCTTATATTTTTCCGTGAGAATAATCCGCGCGGATATTCGCCCTCAGTGACAATGGACTTCAAGGAAGTCGGAGCACCCTGAGAAAACACACGCAGATGCGGGGAGAACATGCAAACTCGGCACAAAATGGCTCCAACCACAGAAAAGCCCCAATCGGCTGGTGGGTTCAGAGACCGAACCTTCTTGCTGTGAGGCGACAGTGCTAACCACTGCACATCGTGCCGCATTTAATGTTTAGTAGCATTAAATTTACCTAAAACCGACATCTGCTCTGTGACGCTGCACACTAATTCACATTTCTGTTAGCATGTAGCTCACGCAACTTTCGTCTAGCAGCGGCTCATTCAAGTTCATAAAGACTAAAAACAACAACAACATAATGGCCAAATACAAGACAACCTAGGTTATAAAACCAAGCATATCCACTTACCAGTGCTTCAATTCAGTATATTGCGTTTTAAATTACAGTCCTTACTGGTCCGCTAATCCGAAGTAGTTCGTTGTTGACAACTGCTACCTGTTTTTACTCACGTGCAACACGCCGCGGCCGCACCTCCTGTACCTGCTTCACAATAAAAGCTTCCCTGTGGTTCGCCGACAGAAAGCTTTTATTATGAAGCTACAGCAAAACGATAAGTATCAGCAGTAACGCTAGCTTCACCAACTTGTAAAATAAATTTAATATCTGTAAATTCAGACAGGAACACAAAACTAACACTAATCTAATCCACAGAGACTCGGTCACAAAAAGTGATATGGCGATGCTCAGTGGGATAAAAAAAAAAAAAGTTAGCCAGCACAAGACCCACCTGCTCTCTAAAATTGCACAAACACGCAACAATATATTATATATTCTATAACAAACACAAAATACAATCACGCTCAATATGAAATTAATACAAACAACAGGCCTGGGTAAAAAGGAAATGTTCACCTTTCTCGACGACAAAAAAACGCCAACAACTTGAGGCCTTGCGCATGTGCAGTCTGAAACGTCTCACTCTTCTTCTTCTTTGGGGTTTTAGGCGGCTGGCATTGCATTACTGACACCCTCTGGCTGTAAGATGTATCGCAATCCTAACTGACAACGTAAATAGTTTGTGATTAAACAACAGATTAATTTTTTTTACAGATAACAACAGACACAATTTCGTCGACTTTATTAGAAAAACATGTTTAACTGTAACAAAGACAAGTATTTTAAGTAAAGTGAAAATAAAAAATAAATATAACTTGAACAACACCTCTAATTCACTTTTTTGAGTGTTGATCTGTCCCACTGCAAGACCTTAAAGAAGAAAAGTTATTCGAAGCTTGAGTTTGAGTATTACAGGCTTGAGTTTTCATCAAACCATGTGACCGTGGCAAGGCATTAAACTTCCATGTGTCGCCATAAACAGGAAGTGGTTCATAACTCCAGCATACATGGACCAATCTTCCCCAAACTTTACAGGATTTATGACAGTCTCTCCCTGAATTTATCTATATGCCAATATTCAGTGAGGAGTACAGGGCCACCTAGCGGCGACAGGAAGTACGTCTTTTCAGACACTTATTTTTGAGTTTCCTGATATTTACATGCTGTGGTCTATATTTCTTGTAAAACAACATGACATATCATTAGTGCCTTCTCCAACTCCCTCTAGTGGGAAGAGGAAGTGGTACAAAATGTGAAATAGTCATTCCAGCACTGTTTGAAGCATATGCCATCTCAGTCCTGCATGAAGTGTATGACTTTGACAGAAATGAACTCTCGCTTCAGCCGGCATCCTGGCAGCGTTCTCGAGTTGTGCGAAGGTGCGAGGGCCTGTTCATCACTGCTTGCAGCTTAATTATCATTATTATTATCTCACTATATAATGATGAAAACTCTGTCTGTCTGTGGGTGTGTGGGTGTGTCTGTTCCACGTGTTTTTCCTCACTGACTTGGTCAATCCATGTGAAATTTGGCACAGTGGTAGAGAGTAATGGGAGGATGCGAATGAAGCAATATTAAATCAATTGGCCAAACGGGGGCGCTATAGCAACCAATTGAAATTGCAAACTTTGAATGGGCATATCTCATGCCCCGTGTGTCGTAGAGACATGAAACTTTGCACAGAGTTGCCTCCCCTCATGATGAACAAATTTGCCTCAAGAACCCATAACTTCCGGTTATATAGATTTTCCGCCATTTTGAATTTTTTGAAAAACACTTAAAGTCGATCTCTTCATAGGAAGTTTGACCGATCTGCGTGAAACTCGGTGAACATAGGGACCAATATCTAAAGTTCCCTCTTGGCAAAAGTTGGAGAACTTACTAAAACTGAGCTTCTATAAGGCAATGAATATTGCGGAGGGCGTGGCTCATCACATAAAGGTGTATAACATCTCAAGGGTTTCACCGATTACCACGCAACTTTGTAGGCATATGACCACACATAATCTGAGGGGACCCCTACATTATTGACCCGATCAAACAAAATGGGGGCGCTAGAGAGCTCATAATCTATCAATTTCTGTTATGTACTTCATGGAATTGTTAATTTACATTACATACAATGGTTTAAAGTTTAAGATTTTTTTTGGGGGGGGGGGGGTTCAAGACCGAAGGGCTGAAACCCTTTTGTTTTTGTACTGTTTTATTAAGCTTATTATTATTATTATTATTATTATTATTATTAATCAGAAATGTTTTCACAAATTCCTGTGAGATGGTACAACATAGAGACATGAAGATTTCACCAACGATTGGAAGTTGTTTGCAAATGGTGCTCAAGATATAAATTTGCCAATAGGCGAGATGGGGGTGCTATAATTATAGTGAAGGAAAATTTGGATTTGAAAGGCCACCACCCTTGCACCGTATGTCAGATTGATATGAAACTCGAGGTACTTAGTCAGGTGAAGGGGTTCTACAAAAGCCTACAAAATCCTACAGATCCGTGCACTAGAATGTCCGCTATATTGATATTTCTGAAAAACACAATTTTTACATCTCCGCCTATAAGGTGTAGGTATGATTTGCGCTCTGTCGATCTTGATATCTCACTGCGTTTTGGTGTTATTGACCAATGAACTTAAGACAGAGCATGGCTCAGCGCATAAATGGACTTTACTCCTTAACCATTGACCCAATTGTCACAAAACTTGTAGAAAATAGTGACAAAAGTATCTGAATCATATCGTGAAAGTTTGATTCAAATCGACCAATAGGGGGCGCTACACATGCAAAAAGTTGATATCTCATAATCAGCCAGAGATATTACAAAACTTGGTTTGCATCATCCGGGTTCATGTCTCAATCGATGCAAAAAAAATGAAAATGATTGCTTAAAGGGGGCGTGGCTTATTACATTAAAACTAAATTTCAAGACATTTCACAGTCCATACTTCAGAAAATCATAATAAATCACTAATGTGTCCTCCACAGCTGAAAGTTTTTTTCAGCAAATCCACTGAATAGTGACAAAACTTTGTTGCCCTGCAACCTATAATCAATTCAGTCAATTCAAGTCTGTCACTCTATATTTTTAAGAATATGCAAAATCAATTAACATCTATATCTCCAAAAGTCTTCATCCAAATGCAACCACCATTGCCACAAGCATTCTTTCGAGACTAGATGTTACATTTTTGAAATGGTGTTCAGATCGGTTAAACTGTGAGCTCACAGTGCTATTCATTATCTTGTTGTAATTTGTACTTTATGCACAACATTTTCTGTTTCATATAATTTTTAACCAAATGTCACCAAAATATTTGACAATATACCTGAAATCAGCAGAATGGTATGCCATTATTTTCAGAATTTTATCACCAATGCCTTCACTGTTATTGATATCTGATTGCTTTTTGAAGATATTCACCAATGAACTTTAAAGGGGGCGTGGCTCAGCAAATGACTCCACAACGTTTGGACTAATCATCACAAACCTTGCAAGCAATGTCTTAAGAGGTTCCAGGTGAATATCCTGAAAGTTTCATTCAAATTGACCACTAGGGGGCACCTCAAATACAAAAAATGGGTACGCAGTAACACAAATCAGACTAAAAATCAGAAAGTGATTGTCCAATCATTACAAAACTTGCAGGCTATGTTAAATAATAATTATTAAACACGTGTATTACTCTAAAATTGGTCAATAGGGGGTGCCACAAGTTCCAAATAAGTGCAAAGGCCTCTCGCAAAATTCGGCCATAATTCAATGAGGGTTTATTCAAACATCACCAAACTTGGTGGATTTTTTTAATTAAACCATCAAGCATGTTCCCAAAAATGTTTCTGCATTAGGCCAATAGGACGCGACAATGCTTCCAAAGAAGAGCGTGGCCCAATAAAGATTTGGACATAAATGAATGAGCATCTGTCTGATTGTCATAAAACCTGTTGGTAATCTTTTATGCAGGTGTCCTGAACTGTCAAAGATCTTTATTGTACCCAGCTCTCAAGTTTTAAATTTCCATGCTGGCTTGAACCCCGGTATTGCTGCTTGCAGTTATATTTATTACTATCATCATTATTATTATTATTATTATTATTGTTATTATTCAGAAATGTTTTTGCAAATTCCCTTGAGATGGTATATCGCAGAGACATGAAATTTTTACCAATG